ACTGGTAAACATAGGAGCGTAAAGAAAGGTAAAAGAGGCAAGGGCGCGTAAGATATATTGCTCGGTACAAAACGTCCTTGTCGCTCGCGAGAGAGGTTCGAGAAGCAAAGTCGAAAATAAGAAGGGTCGAACAGCTTTCACTCAACGTTAATGGATGCCGTTCATGGCGGACGTTCGAGCAATCCATCTTTAAATAAGAATAACGAAGTGGCCATTCTGGCAGACAGAATTAACGAATTCCATTAACATGGCTGGAAAAACCCGGCAGAAAAATAAAGGTCCAGATGCGCCAACTATCGCAGAACGAAGCAACGATAAGAGGGGAAAATTTTCGAGGAAGGAGGTAAAAAGGACACGTTTAGAGAGGAAAATCGCGATTGTTTTCAGAGGGCGGAGGAAATCCCTGCTGTATTTCCGTTTGTAAAGTGGTTCAGTGTGCCAGTAGTGCCGACGGACCCTAGCCCGATATCGAGACAGTTGGATCGATGCTGGTTGGCTTCGGTGCGTATACGTACACGCCTCGCGCACAGCCGCTGCTCCATGCCACTTGGAACGCGTTTCAAGTGCTTCCTTTAAGAATCGACGGGAAATGTTTCCACCCATTGTTCTCGCTTTCGCGCCGCGGAATTATTTCGTAAAAACGAGGTCGCTTTACGTTCCAGTGCTCTCGCGCCTTAAGGAAACAGCTATTCATTTTGAACGACCGTTTAGGGAAACCTTCGATCGGAATACTTTTCACGTGATCGATTGTCTTCAAAGTAAGGGCCAAACATTTGCTACTTTGGAGAATTCTTTTCTTTTCAAACATTCATCCAACAATCATCCAAAGACATTATACAACAAAGTTCCAAGACGCGTCGGACAATTGAACGATGCTTCCTCGGAGTTAGATGGAATCCTATTCAGACGAGAAGTCTCGACTAAACGTACGAATACATTTCCTCTTCTTCACTACGAGTAACGAGAGAAATTCTCCTTTGAATAAACGTCCGTAGACCGTCTCTACCATCCGAGAAAGGGAACTCTACCGCCTACGGCCTGTTCTTCCAATGTTTTTTTAAGTACTCGACGATCGAATAAAATCCACCGGGGAGTTTAACGCGGAGAGATAGTACTGCACTAGACGATAAACAAAGCGTCGATCGTTTCTATTCCGCAGCTGAGAGATCTTAACGATTTTTGACAAAGCTCTTCCTCGAAATCCTCTCCAATTTTCATATTTAACGACTCATTTGCGAATTCGCGCGCTTCCTGTCGAGGGACGTTACAACCGAGACCGTTGGTACTTGTTCCGCGCAAAAAAGATTTTCTCGCTCATCTCGCTTTTTTTCCGCTCGAGAAGCGGAGAATCGGTCCGTTTGAATATGGACAAAGTCGACAGGTATACCTGTATCGATGAAATTGCTCCGGCAGTTTTGGAAGCGGCGTAAGTGCTTCCGCTCACAAATGGACGCGACCGCGTAATAGCAAAGCTGACAAACGCTTCACGGGCTAGTCCCGGACTAAACCCAAGTCAAGTATACAAATTTCGTCGAAATCGATGCCTTCGTTTGGACAATTGCGCTCCAAGAGGCATCGGTACAGTTTCTATACAAATTACATATTGATGGATCGAGGAGATATAATGCGATACATCGGACTAATATAAAGCGCAACACGAACATCGTTCGAGCTGGCAAAGTCAGCCCCGCGAGTGGTGAAATTCACGAGAGCGCATCGACGCATAAATTGCGCAGAAAACAGAAGAGAAGCGCGGGTTTTTACATCCGATGGAAAATTATGCTCGTCGGTTTCTGCAGACAGTTGTCACTCGTTTTCATCCAACCACCGTATCGCTATACACTAGGTGAACGTAAATAACGGACAAATACGGGCTGCTTCTTTCGACTCGCCCAATATTTTTTCCAGTCTCCGATACTCTGCCATCTATCAACCATCTATCAAGATTGTTTTCTTTTAATAACGAACGCCTTAATTGCTTTCGTTGGTATTGAAAGTGAAAAAAGTGACAAAGAGGAGATTGCACAAGGTTGTTGTCAATATCTGTGTTTTAATTTGCGACGTTGTAGCCGATATCGAGGCAGGGTCAACGACCTATGATCCTAAATAATGAAAAGAACGGCGATGATTTTTAGCATTTATCGATCAATTCAGAGCGATTCGGAGTAGTTGCGAGGAAGTTGCTCGAATTAGTAGTCAATGCTTGATGGACGATAAATTTCCTTCGGAGCAGAAACACGCAGGCTATTCAGAACTCGTGAATATACATTTCGATCTTACATAGATGAGTCTCTATATTCGCATTTTCTGCTTGGCGGAACTCGAGTCAGTCACCGGTGGTTGGCCAACATGCAGAGAAAGAATGATCTTCCCACGATACGACAAGAGAGAGAGAGAGAGAGAGAGGTGCTCTTTCAGTTCTTCCAGCGACCCTGATATTTTCGATTAAAACGAAATTAGGTAGCAATTTTCAGCGAGATACCCGCGACAAAGGTAATAATTCCCTATTATCTACCACAGTTCTTCTCAAACCAGGTTAGGCTCGAATCCTCCGATAAAACGAAATTGATTTTGCGGTAACGATTAACGGAAAAATCCACGTTTTACCACCTGAATCCCTCGTACGACGACACATCTCGCAACCAACGAAAAGAAGGAAGGACTGAGAAGCGAATGCACAATACCGGAAGAGAGGAGGAGGAAGAAGGGTGGTGGCCGGGAGGGTGGGCAAATATATAAGCAAGGTATAGACACGCGGGCACAGGTAAGCGCGCACGCGCGCTCGCACCGATACTAGAGCGAAAAGGAAACACGGACGGAGGTCGCTAGGCGATGGTTTAGCGGAGTACGGAGAGGCTGCACGGGGCGGCTGCGTGCTCGAAGCTCGAGCGGCGCTCGCGCAATGTAGTCCCTCGGCTATCCTTGACGCGGGAGCATCGTCGTTTCGAAACAGCCGCGACCTTCTCCCGTCGCGCGCGTTCCGTGCAAACGTCAAACAACCGACACGCTCCTCGACACCCACCCATTCTACACGGCAACTCGTCAATTCCGATGGATCACCTTATCGAACAGTGACATTCCCCACTATCACCTTCTACACCCTTCTTCCTTCTTCCTTCCGCTCTTCTCGCTTCTTTTTTATCCGCCCCCCAATCGACAGACACGTTTTAGTGATTCTCGGGTACGGATCGATCCTCGGGATGTGTTGTAGTGACGTAACCGGTGAATTGTGATCCCGTTCGGTGAATGGGACACGGATGCGACCCCGACGAGGACACGGTGCTTTGTCCACGTTTCCAACGCTCGTCCGTGCCGTTTCCACGTGCGCTAGATCGAACCGTGAGATTTACCATCGATCTTCGCTCAAGTGTCAACCGTCGAGATAAAGTAGGCGCAATTCGGAATCGAAGAGGATTCGGAATCTTGTCGCGGTCCACTGGCGTATATTTCAAGTCGGCCAGGCATTTCTGGCCCGAGGTCGGAGGCGAACTTCTGGCGAACAATCGGCCAGTCCGCATAAAAGGCTCGTAACACTGCCGGTGCCTCGTGAACGAAACTGGGTGACGTACGGTTATCGTCCGCGGCCCGATCGAACTTGGCACGAACTTCCTTTCGTCGCGATTCGGGGTGAATGGAGCGACCACGATCGCGTATGCCTCGACACCGCTGAATTTCCTCCATCCTGCAAGAGGGATGCTTCTTTCGATTCAACGCACAGACTGAAAGCAGCCATTCCGAATCGTGGTAGAGTGTTATTAGTCGTTGAGCGGGGTAATATGGAAGACGTGGTGGTGGGTAGTCTTCAAGTGAAGTTTCGTTGTTGACGGTAGAGATTGGAACACTTGGAGGGAAAGCAGTTGGCAGTGAAGGACTGTTCAAGTGGTTTTTACGCGTGGTCGGCCAAGAAAGAGTCGTTTCCCTTCTCCAATCTCATGGGATGTTGAAGTTAAAAAGGTGTCGGTGGGTCAGCAGCCACCTTCCTCGACCCTTCTCGCGCGGCATTCAGTGTCCGTTCCCGACCGGAACACAAACGCACGCCTCGTTGCCGACAATTTCGGGGAAAAATTGCCGTCACACCGACGTCAAATAAAAATATTAACGCTCGTACGAGTACCGGACGAGAAGTTAAGGCTGCGTAAAATTTCACGCGTACGACTAAACGAGTGAACAACTGGGGGGAGAAAAAAGTTACCGTGACGAGTTTTAACGTGAAAGAGGAATTAAAAGGTACGCTACGTAATGAAATTTCCCGCATGACGAGTTATGCGTCCGTGGAACGATTAAGGTGGGAATAAGGAGGCGATTGCAGGGGAATGCAGCAGCGATGCACCGGGCGAAACCACGAGAAAGAATGATCGATGGAATGTCTAGCGCCTGGAGGAAATTACTTTAACGAGTCCCGCCTAATGCATCGCGAACGACTTTGCGGCGGCGAGCGCGGCCAGAGGCATAAAAGCGTCTACCTAGGCTGCCCTTCCTCTACCTCCGATCTTAGACGAGCACAAACTAATGCTATACCGACGCCGCCGACGAAATACTCCCCTCGTTAATTACATTCATTAGTGGTTCGCGCGCTACAACCTTACATTTTCCGCCGCAACTGCGGAGAATACCTCGAAACCGCCCTGCTGCTTCGGATCCGACGAGAACAGAGGGAGAGAGAAAGGAAAGAAAGAAAAAAACGAGCGAACTCGGTCAAGTTGCGAAAACGGTGCGCGGCGATTTTCTTATTTCCCCTTTTCTTTTTTTCCTTTCAAGGTTCTTTCAGTGGTGGTGGTGGTGGTGGTGGTGGTGGTGAACTTGGGCAAAGTGAACAAAATTCGAACCTGTCGAGAGATAAGCCAAGATCGCGATGTCGTAGTCGACGAGCGAACCGAGTTTCCCGGAGCTGGCTATGTTAGTGAACTATCGCGCGTACGGAACCGCGACTCGGCTCAGACGACTGAAATGCGTGTGAGATAGTACATCAGTATGTGAAAGAACCTCGCCGAGGATAAGCGATGTCTACTTCTCTTCCCATACTCGTCTGTTTTATCATTTCTTTTGGTAAGTCCACCTGCAACTTCGAACCGCTATTTCGACGGAATAATTCCGGATATTTGTTATCGTTGCCAGGAACGGGGAACAAAGTCGCGTTCCTCGTCCGCGAGTATCTTTCCGGAAGAATTTACATTTCAAATTCACACGGCGCAATCAGCCGGCTTGAGATTCGTACAAACAAGGGAACAGCTTTATTCATATTAACAGCGATAAGTACAGGCGAGAGATTGCACAGAGATCGAAGATCGAGCAGAAAAAGAAAGGTTGATTACGGAAGATTGTGAAAACGATCCCCAGTATTTAGCGACGAGAGGAGATGGGAGGACCAATTCTTTTCATTTCAATTCATTTCGCTTCGCCTTTGCAACTGACCCCGTCACTTGTATCTATTATTCATGATATCCCTCTCGATTCCAGCAACACTTTGACGTAACGTTTCAGCTGGCGCGAGCATAACGTACAGCTGGATACGGAGAGCTCGTATATCTTTCAGTCTGATTGAATTTGATGAACTCCACCCTCGAACCCGAGGTGCGGCTACACCTTAACCCTCCACTCGCTCGTCTATTTAATTGCCAACCTACTTGCGCATCGGCATTTCGGAATACTTCTTTTACACGTTAGCATCGCCCGTAGTTATTGCACAACTTGGAATCTTCCGCTTCTAATGAAAAAAGTTCCAAGTATAATTCTATAATCGTTGCATTCTCGATCGAGGGAAGAAAAGAACGACGGTAGTTCCTCAGTCACGTTCTTCACGGGGTACATTATGCAATTCTCTAGGCTGGCCTACGAACGTTGTCTCCTTTCCTCCGGGGAGCTGCTTCCGTGAAAAGTTACGATGCTTTCTCTTCGCCAACGAAAAAACCCCGCGATTTACCTACAGGACCTGCAGGAGGCAACACACGAGGCGAACGATAATTTTCAAGAGAAGCACAAGTAGCAAGGGTAAATTATTTGGTATCCTCTACGCGATAGCACAAAACTTATCCAGGTATGATTTTAATCTGGTAAAAACGTTTAGAAAAATACGCGGAATATCGTGGAAGTGGAGTAAAGTCTCGTATTTTACCGTGCAGCTGCTATTGCCAGCGATACTATACAGTATATAACACGATATGCGAGGATTGCGAAAAATATGCAGGCAAAACGGTCGTTACAGGCTATAGTCCGCGACGTATCCTGCGTTTAATGGTAACGCTTCTTTATCGTTACCGTCGCAAAGAAAATGCTCGACCTTGATTCCACGACTTTACCATTCACCCGTCGCAATGCCGGCTAACGTGGCATTAAGTTTTTCCCCGTCCCTTTCAACCGCGTGTTTTTACCACGGGGGCAATTCATCGCAGCCGCGAAATTTACAGATTTCTGTCGACGATGGTCTCCCTTTTTGCCGTACTTTCATTCTGCCTAATCTGAGAAGAATTTTAGGAAAACATTCGTCGAAATTCACTCGGTGCACAATTCGCCAAAAAATATCGATACCACTTTATAGCCGTAAAATATGGCGGCCACCACTTGTCTCGTGCGCTTCGACGCTGCCAAGTAATAATCGACGTGGTGGGTATTAGGTGTGCTATTAAATTCGTACATACATTGTTTCCGTTGCTATTGAAAGAAGAGTTTGTATGGTTCGGGGACGTGCACTTGTTAACGATAAACAAGTCGATATTTTTTCGCAAATTAACATTTATTTTTTGTAACGAAAAAAATTGTTGTTACGTTTCTTTTTTACTTTGAATTTTGGCGGAAAATCGAAAAATTTCCCCAAAGACGCGATGTAGGTTAACCGGTTGGTCGATCGAGCGGGCGTGCGCGAAATTCGAAATGCTCGGTCGAGGCGCGAAACACTCGCTGCTTGAAAAAACGGAAATTAGCTGGCAGCGAGTGCGACGTCCAGTTCGCACCGCAGTTCGCTCCCTTGCGACCAACCGGGCGAACGTCACGCTCCAAGGTTTCGCGAATACTCCCTTTGTCTGCCAGATAAGGCGCTTCCAATTTAAAGTAAAATTCTTGATTCGATCTTTGTCGCTGCTCAAGCCGGACTCGTCGGGTCTCGTCGTTTCACCCTGATTTAATGTAATTGAACTTGGTCTGAGAAAGACAGTTCCGAGGGATTGCTGTTTCTCTCCTTTCTCCCTTTCCCCCCCACAGCTGTTGGCGTGCTTCTCTTCTTGTTTGTCTATTACCGTGCCGGCGCGTGTCGTACCGCGAAAAATGAAACGTGGATCGTTGACCGAGCGTCACGTGGAGGAAATCTCGTCTTGTGGCTGCTCGCCGTTGCTATTCCGAAAATTACAACCGTTTCTACATACGTATCTGACTGGACGATATGTATCTGTAGAAACACTCGTTCGACGATATTCAGTGGAAATCACACGTAACGTAACAATTCGCACTGTGGAAATTGATCTTGCATATTATCTACCTTTGTCGCTGATTGCCTTTTGGAAGTGCGGCTAATGAGAGAGAAATGCGGGCAAATAAAAGAAGGGGGGTGGGTGAGAGGAAAGATCGATATCGCGCGATTCGATCTTGTTTAGTCCAACCGGATTATGGGCAGGACGAAATCGAGCCGACGAATTCGCTTTGATCGTCGGTCCATAGAACGAATCGGAGACAGCGAATCGGCCTACAGAGGGTAGAGTACGAGGCGTTTATAGGGCGATCGACGCGGTAGAGCGCGTGTCGCCTCGCATTTATGACGTTACGCCGCGCCGTGAAGCGACGCGCTGCATTCCACACGCGGTGCAACCTCGGTTTACCGGCGGATTTCGCCGCCACCTAACCTAACCGGGTTCAAGACTCGTCTGGACAAAGCGGCGCGTTAACGAAAATAATGATCCTCCGGCGTCATCCCTGCTCGCTACAAAGGCTCCTGGATTAAAGTATCCGCCGAACCGTGGCCCGCGATCGATAGAAAATACCGATTTGCCGGGGATCAAGCGTACTTCCTCCTTCGGCCCTAGTTTCCTATACACTCGACCAACACAGCGGTGCATGTTTCTGTCTAAAGTGTAGCAGAGTTAACCTCTTCGAATTTGGAAATTATTCGCTCGGTGGGAGTTTTCGATTTACTCGTGGCAAATGGAATTCTTATTGGTTCGAAATTTGGCTCGTATAATATATTTGGTCTAATCGATGCTACGACCGTTCCATCGATCTCGGCCAACGAGAAAATTAAACCGTCCCCCTCCTCCGGGGCAATTCCCTCGCGGCTGACGAGAGTAGTGTCAAGAGGCCGATTTCGTCTACTCTGACGAGCCACAGCCAGAGCCTCTGTGTTACCCTTTTTCGACGAGCATCCGAGTCGAGTCGAGTCGAGCGTTCGTTTGCTTTTCATTACTCGGTTCGGGACCATTCCCGACGACGGGAACAGCTTGATTGGCGTTTTGGCTAATTTTCATTTTCCCCCGGAATTTGCGTGAACGGGGTAACGCAAAAGCAGCCATCGAGAACACACAACGAACAGATTATTGCGCGCCCGCTCGCATCGCGTACCGCCAATTCTACGTCCGATCCTGATTTCATCGTTGATTAAATTCAATTCACCATTAGTCCGGTTAGAATTAGCTATTGTTGCTGGCAATATTGACGCGCCGCCTGATCCCTTTTGATGTTCCGCCATGACTGATAGCTCGCAAAGTGTACCGGCAGCTTACCTTCCTTCCGCTCTTTCCAATTGCTATTATTCCGTCGTTACCGTCGTAACACTGGACGGTGATCGTTTCCGTTCTGCCGGAACTAAATGAATAAAAACTACGGAGAATTGAATTTGAGGAAAGACGAAAACCACTTTGGCAGGTAACGGTATGTTGTTAGAGAGTATTATCGCTGCACGTAGTAACGTAAAGCCACGTCCTGACTGGCGGCGTAAGAAGACAGGAGAGCTTTCCAAGAGAATGCGACACACATTTTCCTCCGAGGTACAAGAAATTCGATTTATATACATACATCTCGAGCGCGGCGAAACGAGCTTCGGAAAATGGATCTACATTGAGAGGCTGGTGCTTTTGAGTGATCGTTAGATGCAATTTTAGCAAAGGCAAGCATTCGATTAGCGAGACAATTTCGAAAAAAATAATCCTCCACGCGTTTATTTCTCAACAACTTTATCACGGAGATGAAAGGCTTTAACGAGAACACAATGCTCGCGCAAACTTTGCGCAGGAAACTATGCGATCGTTTTCAATTGTTCGCGTCGTATGCCACTGTACACACATCGGGTTATGCAGCTGGAATCGAAGCACGGTAAGGAGGGAGAACGTGATTGATGTGACGTTCAAAGTGTCCCCTCCGGTTTATCGATGATCCTCCACTTTGAAATTATCCATTAGCACCTGCTATTATTTACTTCGTACACGACACAATTTTCACTTTGAAATTAGATACACTTTAGTAATTTCGTAGTGGAAAGCATCGCCAGACACAAATCACAGATAGAGCATCGCGGAAAGTCCAGCGATCTACGCTACGAGGTCGATAAATGCGAGCAGAGAGGATCGGGGAAACGATTTTGGTTCGTGGCTAATTAAACATCGGTGGCAACGGTGAGATAGAGGATAAAACGTTGAAAGAGACGGAGGTCTTTATAACCGGACCTGTCGTAAAACCTACGTTCAGGTGGAAGGGATAATGGAAAGGGTGGGACGTGGTGGGTAGACGGAACGAAATAGGATTTCGCGGTGAGCAACCAACGTCCCTCATTGTCTAGGACCTAGGAGGAGCTTTCTGGTAGTTGGCCGTGACGGACAACTACCGTCCCCAACCGGGGTTCAAATAATTATAAAGCTAGCGCAAAGTCATCCACTACTATCGTCCGCTCTTTTGGAACCGTTCCGAACCTTCTTCCAAAGTTCCGCTCCGGGGATGACAGCAATGTGACGTCTTATGTGGCGACCGCGAGGAGCTTGTTCTCCCGGAAACTTCTCTGGCTCTGTACCAGTTACTTATTCAACCATCTTGCGACTTCCAATTTTTTTTCTTCCCCTCCCTCGAGATAAAGTTCGAGCGGAAAATCGCTCGATCCGCTTGTCGCTCGTGCACGCGATTAAGATTTCACGAATCTCGCCCGACATTTTATCGTCCCGTAACCTTCGAATAATAATACTTTAACGATTCTCTGATTCGCGGTAATAAACGTTAATAAAAAAAGAGGTTAATAAAAAAAGAACGGAGGAGAATATGGAATGTAACTGTAGGGACCAGCAGTGAGCAGCTTCCGATAATTGACCTAATTGCGTTAAGCGGTACAGGTTTAATATCGTTATACGCATATTCATTTATTTTCCTTGGGAAAAGTATTTCGATAAAGTCCCGGAAGAAGCGAGAAAGGCCGGCCGGTAGGAAAGAGACAAGATGGATTGGTAGATTCGAGCGCAAAATTAATTTCCGGCCCAGCCGCCGGATTATAGATTATCCGATACTCCCTGCGAACTTATTTGACCTCTTTTCGCCGGAAAAACCCCAACTTTCGGTTGTTCGGCCAAGAAAAATCCGACGAAATGAATGCACTTTCCACGGGCGGGGAGTAAGAATCGCTTTTAATTCGAAAAATGAATTTATCGCCACCGAAATGTTCTAATTTCTTCGGCAACTTGGTCACTTTGCGTCAACGAGCGCGCAAATCTTTCTTTTCGAATTGAACACTTGGTGGAAATCTGCCAGAATCCTACTGTTACGATATCAAATACCGTATCGAATACCGATAAGAAAGATGGTCGAGCTACAATTACGGCGACACAACTTTCGCGCAAAATCAGTTTAGCCTACAAACAGAAAGACGGAATAACGTGGGTTAACGTGGTTCATTTTCTGTTTATCGAGTCGCGACCGAAAATGCAAAGAGAGAGGGTCCGGCGTGAAATGAATTGACGTTTCCGCTTTATCTCGTTCGCGATTGAGAAGCTGCGAAATGAAGTTTAGCAACGAGCCACCGGCCAAATTGGCCGTGGATACTTTCGAGACAACGCCCGCGCAATTTTGTTAGTCGATGGGAATTTGGACGGGCGAAGACGGGACACGTCGCGGAGACAGGGCAAATTCAACCGAAATTAATTTTCGTCCAAGTACGACTGGCGAACCGGTGGTTTCCTCTGCTACTCTTAGCCGGCTGCTGTGCTCCTCTTAACTCGTACGTAGCCCGAAACTTTAAGAGTTCGCCGTGGAAAACGTTTCTTCACCGAGAGTAACGCGCTCTTTTATTAAATCTCGTATTAAGGAAGAATATCGGTTTTCTTGGTCGGAAAGGTAAACGAAAGAGTAGGAGTAATCAAGTGTGGAGAAGTCGTTGAATTACGTCGGTGAGAATAATTGTGAAACACTTGGGGAGTGTGAGGAGCGTGACCCTATCGGAAAGCTATTTTATTCGATGATTGACGAAGCGACCAACTTTGGAAAGTTGTTACACGTATATACGTTCGATTCGAGGTATACGCCAGCTCTATAAAGCTCGTTAATTCTCCTTCTTCGGCCAATTAACTTTCGTCCGTTGACCCTAACCAAACCATTGTGCGTTAGAGGAAGTGCGTAATTTCTTTGACGTGCATAGAAACGCTCCTGCCCTCTCGATTCCACCTTCGCAACTTTAAACGCTGCCGCTAATCGAAGAGCGATTTCCGATAATACGTTCATACGATCGTACGATCTCGTCTCTGTCACTGTTTTTTAGGTCGTTGCTATTCAACGCACGAAATGTATCGTTAGCGTATAAGCGACAAGTAGAGATTAGAGCAAGTGCAGGTATCGAATAGGGAAAAAGATGCGGCGTTTTTCCCCGCGAAATCGATGTCCGTGAAGCAAAAGTGGACCTGTATCTCGGGGTACTCGGGGTGAACCCGTCTTAACCACTTCTGACCCGAAAAGCTTCGAAGCGTAGTGTACGAGCACACGGTCCAGTAAACAAACGAAAGAGAATTTCTCACTGCGAGAAAGTGCCCCTCTACACGCGAATGATTCTGAAGAGATATCTTTTGTGCACTTGCTATTTCGATATATGCGTTCAGCGACCTGTAGTTGCTACGTGACAAACGACCATAGTCGCTGCCAGAGAAGCTTCTTCGAGTAACGCGGGGGTAAAAAAAGGAAAATATTCCTCGTATCTCAATAATCTCTGAACTGATTCAACTCTCGACGTTCACTCTCGAATTGTGCGTCCAGCACTCGCAATGTCATAGACACTGATAAATTTCATTTCTCATTAGAACACATCTTATTACGACAGAAATAAACTTAGAATAGAACTCGATCGCGTACATATACATATGTAATTACATTATTCACGCATATAGTACGTACTTACGCACTGGTCGGTTGATTCTTGTGTTCGGCTGTTCGTTGTGCGACATCTTCTGAGGAATTAGTTAATTATGTAAACTGATTGGAAATCCGCGTATAATCTAAACCGAGTTGTTCGAGGGGGCACTGAATTTCCTACAGGCCTATGGTCGCGCGGTACTCGTTCCGGCAGCCTCGCAAGCACTGACTAGCTTCGTAAGAAATTTCAGGGGTGACGTAGGCCTGGTATAAACTTCTTGCTTCACAGCATCGCGCGAGGCTAGTAGTGTCTTTTTCGCGTCGAACATAAGAAACTCGAGTCAGAGATTGATGTGTCGCGACTTGCTTTCGAATGGATGCAAAATCATATCGCTGTCGGACCGATCTTTCACGAGGAAAATTGAGAGGATTTGGTTATTTATTCCTGTTCGGATTAATCAGTTGGCAAGGTAAATCGAAAACGCAACATTGCGGCAAGATCTGATAGAAATAATAAAATGCTTAGGGGAGCGATTGTTTGCGCTTGCCGTTCTATAATTCAAAGAGAGCAATTTAGAGGCGGGAAATGGCGCGAAGAGAGAAGGAAAGTCGATCATTCGTGAACAATGGCGCTCTATGGATGTTATTTCGCTAGAATAGGAGGAAAATAGCTCGATGCTGGCCAAACTGTCGGTCGCGTTACACGCTGTTACCCTCGCAGAACTATTCACTGATTCGCGATTCACCGGCAATGCGTGTCTCTGGTCAGTTACCGCTGCCCGAAAACTTTCCCATCGACGTCACACTCTCGATGCTGAATTATCCACCGATTTATTTGACAGCGACTCTTCCTCCTTGATCTCCTTTCGAACGTTCCTGCCTCCCATGCTTACAGCTCTACCAGAATTACAACGTAACATCTGAAAGTAATTCAATTTTACCATCGAAAGATTGAATAAAACTTTACTCCTAATCTTGACGCGTGATATTTTAGAGGTTGGAAAATGAAATTGCTCGATTAGGAAAGGTCAGGGGTTAAAGCGGAACCACCTTTACGATGAAAAACGGCAAGTGGAACGGACAAGATCGATCAATTCATTAGCATTATGCAGGTAAATGTACGTTAATTAAGGTATTACGTTTACAATTAAGGTAATAATAACGATCTCTACACGTGAATAAAACGAATGCACAATTTTCCTTTTAAATCGTCTTGAATCGTCGTGACTTAGACACGGCGGCGGGGGCAAAGAGCTCTGCGGAAAACACGAAGCAATCACGAATCATACGAATTTCCCTGGAAAAAATACCGGCCAATCGAATGTTTACGATGTCGGGGAATCACGAGCGGAACCCGCAATTTGCGAACATTCGAGAAACAAATTCGCGGTACGTGTTCCTGCAACAAACTGGCGTATCGCGCCGGACCAGATTATGCGTACTTTGCGCGGCGACAATCGGTCGCCGTGAAAAGCCAATGAAAAACAAATTCCAAACGAACGCGGTCGGTGCTCGTTACAGGTGTACGTATTCGGTATTCTGTGCGTGCTGCTCACAGGCGGGAAAATCTAGCCTACACGGTTCCATCGTTAACGAAATAAAAAATGAACGCAATTTCGACCTCGATTGAACGAACGGTCGTTCTGGAAAGACGGTGATCGCCTTTAAATACTTTATTTCGAGCGTGTAATCGTTTTACTTCTCGTCGTGAGCGGGACGTTCGTCAGCTGGGAAAGAGGTAGAATCGTTTCGCAAGTTTGTGCAATCTACCGCTATTCTGCGTCGGCAAAGTTCTTCTAACGTCGCGAGACGCGCTCGCGAGTCGACGTATTTTAATTTCTTTGAAAGTTCACGGCTTTTCAAAGTGTTCTACGTCCCATTGGTACCGTCTTTACGTAAGCTCTCGAGAGATCGCTTAACTGAATAGCCAGCCAGTTAGCTCGAGATTATTCAATTCCAAACCTCCTCCTCCCTCTCTCTTCCTACCTGTCTCCTTTTTCTTAACTATTTCTCTCTCGAGTTTGAACGCGCTGAACGAACGTCCAGGGATCCCAATTTAAAGAACTGGGTTCGGCTTCTTTCCGAACTGTAAATATTTTACCATTTCAAAGCTCGCCGTTTTCATTTTGCTTTTCACGAAAAGGAACGATAATCAGTCGATCTATGTGTCTTTTTCCAGGTGGTATTGCGTTATGTGTACGAAACTTTCGAACCGACTTTCTGGAGGAATGGCCGACTCCCGGTACGGGACCCCATTTCGACACCTCGATGCATTCCAACTACACCGGTCTGGTGGGGAAAACCGTGTATCTGGTGTGCAAAGTAAAGAACCTCGGAAATCGAACGGTGAGTCTTAGGCTATTAAGTACTTGGACTAGGATTAATCACCTCTTTCACCAAAGTTCGCGCGTACTCGTAGAAGAAAATGGGAAGCTGACGATAAGCTTGACCGTTGGTTAATTCCGGAAAGATCGAAAGGAGGACAAAAGGTTCCGAGACGGGGTGAAAGCGGTAGAACCAGCAGAGGATCCAAACACGTTTAATCCGCTAATTGATGAGTCTCACTGGTTATGATACGCCGTGTATCGCAGTTGGCAGCGTTCAAAGACGAAGGTGTACGTAATCGCGATATGTTTAGCCAGACCGACTAAGAACCGGCTGTTAATACACCGGCAACGATAATGGCGGTCTTCATTAGTAGGCATACAGAGACCGCAAGCTAATCAACAGCAGTTTCACTTTGGCTTAGAGCTTCCCGATGAAAAGCAATTACAATGGCTCCCCAGACTACTGATTCCACGCTCGAACCTTACAATCCAAGATTCGCCGATTGACTTGTGAACGAAAGTAGCCGATAGAAATCGTTTACCTCGAAACTTCCCTCGGTTCTCCTCCAACTCGTAGAAGAAGTAGGGGAAAGCAGCAGTTGTCTAAATATCGTATGGAAACCAACAGCACGCAGAGAAGTTAAATTTATTTTTTAAACCAAGTGGTTCTTGAATTAGAAAAAAAAAAAAAAAACAGGAAAAAGAGGACACAAATGTTGCCAAAGCGGAAGTAATGGAAATTCAATTTCAGTCTCGATCCCGTTCGAAACTCCGGAAAGGGACACGCGCCATTTCCAAAATACGAGGAAAATGAAAAGAACGATCAGCGCGGAAAATTGCCAAGTAACGCACAGTTTTTCGATAATATTTGCGATATTGCCGATTATACCGGCGGATTGGTAAATTTCGCGAGCATCTAAGCGTGTCGTACAACGAAAATTCATGGTTTCGATTCTTTGTGCCGGAAACGCGTTTGCAAACATTTATATCCCCGGAATATTGATAACAATGTTAACAATCGCGACAACAATGAGAAAAATAATGGCCGGTAACGATCGACCAGCTATGGTAATGACAACAACGAATAATTACGATACTTCTCGTGTCTCTCGCGCAAAATCGACGCAACAAATACAATGCACACAGGACGAAGATAAATACCGACGTGCAGTGTAGCACGATGTATACGGGACGAAATAATAAGTTACGTAAACCGTTTTACACGAGATAATAGCATTTAAATCTGTGTATGCAACAAAATCCTACGAAAATTAATCGTTTACCAAAATGGAATATTGTTTTTCATTTCGAAAAGACAGGAATTTAATTATTCAACGTTTAAAAGGATTTCGTTCGATCGAGATAATAGAAAATGCAGTCACTTTCTTAATTTCCACTTGTTAAAAAGAATTTCGGTGTAGGCACCAGAGAATTTCGCAAACTTCCGAGTTCTCTGCATTCTTTCTGCTTGTCCGCCTCTTTGTTGCGAACAACGAAACTAGGTTAGAAACTCTCTTGGACGCCGCAAATCAAATTTCTTTTTGCAAGCAAAAATACCGCGCACCAGTAGGCACGTGTAACATAAAACAGCACCATTTTAATATCTCCTTTCGTTTCGTAAAAAATAATCCTCGAAGATGGCTGCACTTCGATCGAATAAATCGTAACCTCGAAATCGAACATTCCGATGTGAAAAAAGTGGAAGAAAAAGGAAGAAATTGGAAAGGTTGAATGGCGAGCATGGTTGTTCGTCATTGTTGAAACTGCAGTCGGATTACGGCGTTCAGGAACAAAGCGCTCGAGATCATTACACCGTTCCATGTTTCTTCTCGGATGGCAGGAAAGTGCAACATGCACGCGATAGGCGTCTGTGTGTAGGCGCGCAGAGGGTCCGGGGTAGGCGTAACCCGGTCTCTTTTATCCGGACAAAGATCAGCAGAGTCCTTATTTTCTCGAGATCTATCCTCCGTCTCCCTCGCCGATCCCATTTTCCCTGCTGTCTACTTTCACGGTAAGAGCCTGTAATCTCCGCGAACGTCAATGGAGGCGGAAGTCGTAAGACGAGCATCTAACAGCGACATTCTCTGCGCAAACAACGCTGAAAACGGCCGCGTTAAACCCACCGTACCTTCTTTCGGCTATTTTTCGAATAATAATCGCGACAGCCTGCACAGAAACGAACCATTTCGTATTCGACCTTAACAACGATATGAACATCGTATACGAATGTACGTAAGCACGTTTGTGAAAAAGACGGAAGAATACTATTGGGAATAGCTCGAAGATGCGACAACGTGTTCTTGCTACATTTTTGATGCACGCTGCGTGTAATACATACGCGGCGCATACCGTGTCTCGAGTGGATTGCGCGACGTATGCTGCTTGCATTTTTAATGGAACTGTCTAAGATGACGGAGACTACGAATGTTCGAGAGAGGTTAGAAATAATAGCGTAGGAATATTTTTCTCCCTCTTTCTTTTCAATCGTAGCAAACTATTAAGTCGTATTCGTATTCACGAGACACTGCGGAAAAAGACAAGTAGATCGTTCGTACCTGCATCTAACAATATTGAGCAATGCGAGGAGCCGAGCAATATCGCAGAATTGTCGTGCAAATTCCTCGGAAATTCCTCCGAATTCAATTGATCTGCGCTGGATCCCGTTGGTTTCAATTTGCTCTTAGGAATGCAACAGTCGGCCATTCCTAATATGTAATACAAGCAAGCTTCCACTATCCGATTAAACGACCCCTTACCTCGAAATCCGAAAACACTTGTTACGAGCTATCTGACACATATCCACGGTTACGTTGTTACGAGATTAAAGCACGATTAAGGGGAAACGATATCGTACGGAGAAGAGAGCAATTCGCGGGATAGGAGAACCGCGAAATTCACTGGCAACCATTGGCCGGACACTTGTGCGTTGCGACGTTGCCGCTTACTCGTCTCTGGTATAGCGGTGTTGCACACGGAAAGCCTATATACGATCGCGCGCGTGCTGCATAGATTTCGGTTGGATTTCAGCAAACAATGCCGCGACTAATGCCGATGACACACCGGGTGTCATCTCGAGAACTCGCAGCTGCCAGGTTCGCGGGCAGCACGGCTACGACAATACCGAATCTCCATGGTGACGTCACACCCGGCTCGAGTGCAGCCCGGCAGGCCGCAGCGTCGTTACGGGAAATTGGTTTATGCGCCCGTGACGGAGCACCCGTGAAACGAAATACCTAACCCTCGAAAAGATCCTCAACGCCATCGCTCGGCCTGCCTGCCTACTCTCCTCTACTCTGCTCTGCTCTGCTCCTTCGCTCACTCGAGAATGCTTCCCCTTTAATTCCAAGACTCCTCCAATCCACTCGATCCGTCCGCGACCCGTATATACAAGAATACACCGAGCTTTTAACCGACTCCATTTGTCACAGCCACTCGAAGCGCCGACGAATAATCGAACGGATGCTTCTTTCTTTACCTTCTCTTATTGCGTTCATGCTTGGAAATTTATCGACACCTTTAAACAATTCTTTCTAAACTTCCAAGCAGAAGAATATTTCTTTTTTCCATGTTTTAGCATATTTCTTTCATATTTATCGTTTTACCTTGTACTTTTTCTCTTGTAATTACTTTTTAAGGTTAGATTATGTATCGGCGGGACTGCACTTACCTATGAATATTAAATGTTATGTACATAATAAAATCGTTAAATAAATTTTTTTTTTAGAAAAGCACGTCTGACGTGAAATAATATAATGTTTGTTATAATATTCTAGCGTAAATATTATATTAAACAGAGATATTAAAATTTTCTCGTGTTTTTTCATCATGTATACGCTAACGTTCTGAAAACATGCGTGATTCATTCTCGTGCTCACCGCAACCCCTTTTAAACCGATTCCGCGCATTACGTAATTGCGAACAACGTCATTCTCGCGGAACAAAAGCTGCCTAGTGTCGGGTGACGCGTTTACCACCGATTTCATTTTCAGTCAACCTAAACGAATAAATAATTTATTAGCGAGAAAAAATTCATTTAACCGCAAGATTCCTTTCAACAAGGAACATCTTTTGTTATTAACTTGCTAAACGATTTATTTTCAACAGCACTATTTAAAAATGGGGAACATTGAAATGAATTTAGATATAAATGCTAAAATATATGTATATACATATGTGTACATATTTAAATCGTATGAAAAGCAACCGGATTGAAGCGAATAAATAGCGCTGGAATCTTTTCATCAGCTTTCCTCCAATGGAACAAGATTTCGAGTTAAATATTTCACACGAACTTCGTTTATACGAAACGTCGCGATTTTTTTCCTTGCTATCTCTTTTGGTTTCACCCTCCCTGTTGATCTCGTCTTGCTGACGAGAAGGTAAGTGAAAAGAGATCAATTTCGCGAGACAACATTTATACGGGCAATCCTTCTTTTTTTTTTCTCTCATTTGAAAAACAAAGTACCGAATCGCTGACAAAAAACTGTATGGAACATATTCTTAAAAAATCCTCTAGAGTCTTCTACTACTTAAATAGATTGCAACCAAAATACATTTTAATCCTTCGCTGTGCTCGTTTCTTCCATCTGGTACGATATGACGTACCGTACGTTTTTTCGAGAACGTAAATCCAGCAGCAAAATATTTCTCTTCGACTTTCCACTTGTTACTCTTTGACATTATTTCGTGGAAACGGCGAACGTGAATGGAATAAAATAAACAGGGAATTTTTACGATTATCCTCGTCGAAAGTTTGGGTCGATTTTTAAGCGACAATTAAGGTCAATCGGATGTAAATGTAACTCCGCGGGAGAATGCACTTGGCGGAATTACGTTCACGGTTCATTGATATTGTCGGTAGGTTATTGATTTAAATACGTGCATGCACGGGACTCGCGCAATTGACCTCGGAATTAACGCGTTACGCGCGCGTGCCCGCGATCCCCCGCGCGTATCAACTTTTTCATCGATTCTATCCACGAGAGGCGTTTGCTTGATCGAGTGATCGCGAAAATTGCCGGCGACGAGCCGGGCTGCCCTACTTTTCCTTCCATCGACGAACTTTCGCGCTTCCAAAGAGACCAAATAGCGCGCTTCATCCACGTTTTTTCCTTCTCCCTCAAAATAATATTAGTAACAATAAGAACGTCCTTATTACACTCACGATTACGTAGAGTAAATTGAACAGTGCATCCAAGATATTCGTAAGACAATGGATAAGATGTAACACACTGTTAAAAACAGCTCTGTTGGTAAACATAACCTTCAAAGTGAGACAGTCAGTAATTGACGAACGTTTTGTATGATGTTTCGTGATGATCGGTAATCATCAGCCACTTATGGATTAGGAGTAGATGATAGTCAGACGGAGAAGTACGAATAGCAATGCAAAAGTTCCTTGAAAATCGAAGACGTGAACCGCGAGATGACGCAAGTATGATATTTTGTGTCACAGGTTTCCTGGGTGAGACATCGGGATATACACCTGCTGACAGTAGGTCGTTACACCTACACGAGCGATCAGCGTTTCGAGGCGCAACACTTTCCCCACAGCGAAGAGTGGACGTTGAGGATACGATACCCTCAGAGAAAGGACTCCGGTATTTACGAGTGCCAAATATCAACGACACCACCTATCGGTCATCCCGTTTACCTAACGATAGTCGGTAAGAAAAACAACTGTGCGATCGAACAAGATAACCTCGAGACTTTGACCTTCCTTATTCAATCCCGATTTCTTCTTGCCGTCTTTTGATATTCTCAAGCAAAGCTCGTGCAAAATGTAGGCACACGAAAGAAATATTAAAGCGATTTCTGTACATTGGTCAAGTGATTCACGTTTTAACGATCAGGTTATTCCATACGAAGATTATCTTTCACGTAGATTTTTCGAGAGACTCGATCGACACTGCAGAAAATTGCACGATAAATTACAAGAGAATTTCTTTTGATAGGAACGCGATCATTATTCCGATTTAATGAACTGTACAATATGTGGGTCAATTATTTTTACTGATTTCGATACGTTATTTTGTTATTAAAATAAATCATTAATGTCACACGGTAATAACTTATCGCGACAAATGTGTATCTTGTCCTGAAGGGAATTTTCAACATGTTTTACCATCTAACCAGGTATCACGTTTCACGATAATTAATGCAGGTGATTAGGTTAGGTTAGCGCGAATTATTCAAAAAATTGTTCTGCAAATTTAAAGAAACAGACAATCTAGAAGTGTTGAAGAAATATATTCGGAAAGATGGTAGATTAAAAGACACGGTTACCAAAAGGAGAAAAAAAAAAAAAAAATGAAATGAAAGTGCGCGAATCTGTGATCAATGTGTTTGAAATTCAGTTGAAGATGTGTAACGAAAGGTGACGCGAAAGGGGTTAATCGAGGATACGTATGAAATCCATGCAAAGATTTCATGCGGTCATACAAAGCAGGTGAAACCAGGCCGTCTACGAGCTCATATATCCTCGCAGGTATACCGTTAATGACTGCTCTGATATCCTAACCGAGCCGTACTATTAAATGAGAGGATCTTATCACACTGACTTGACCTGAAAATGCCGCCTAACGTTCCCGCTTCTACGTTTCGCGGACCGATAAAAATATCACAAATATTCCTATAAATTACATCTTGTCGCCCTGCTTCGACAGTCTCTTACATTGTCTCGCTTCTTCACCGCTTGATTCATCGTTGTAAAAAATATTTTTTTTAATCGTTTAAATTCGAAAAAATTAATTCAAAGTTTAGGGCTTTAATTTCTAACGTTTCAAAACGCAATAAGAAAATAATAATTAATTTTTCGAAAAAATTTCATTTCAGAACCGATCACCATCATCATCGGAGCACCCGATCTGTTCGTTAATAAGGGTAGCACCATTAACCTGACTTGCGTCGTAAAGTACGCTCCGGAACCACCGCCCATGATGATCTGGAGTCACAATACAGAGGTGAGTATTCCCACCGGGATATGTAGTCTTCTCGTTTAATTCGTATTTGTGCCACATCGCAAAGTGACTCGCGATAACTCGAGAATACGCACTCGTAACGCGATAATATGATGTAGTATGTACTTACGCATTGCATAGTTAATGCCAGAATGAGAGAGAAAGAAAGACGGATGGGATAAGGTAAGGAGGGTAGAAGAAGGTAAGCCGGGCATTCGCCGTTCATTTTACGTGCTCGCAAGGTTCTTTGTGCCGGCTCAAAGGGAATATGTACATACGTCGAGGGAAACGCGGCTCACATATACCTATCTTCTTACCATTCTTCCCGCGAACCTTCAAGCAAAATACCTTTTGTATTCTCGTACGACGCAACGGTATTACGCGCGGCAACGCGAGAATCCTCTGAGAGGGGATAGTTTCCACGAGGAATATGAGAAAACAGCCAGCGGTAGCTTTGAGGAAATGATTCCGAACCAAAAGTTGGATGTATATACCTGACGATCCAATATTGTTCTTTTTTAACTGTGTACACACACCGTCAACCGACTGTAATCCGTAGCTTTATCGCGCGAAATGCATCGCCGTTTTACCTCGAACATCGGATTCGCGACAAGCTTTCGTCGTGAGCAATTTACAGTCAACTACACGAGCGTATTTATCTGTTTTTATGAGAGACAACGCGTACGGATCGTAACACAGTCGTGTTTATAACTTGTCTATGATCGTGACGTTTCGTCACGATTCGTTAAATTTCGGAGCTGTTGGTAACGTAGGGAATGCGATTTACGTGACGCCGATTTTAACCGATCGCGTCGCTGTAATCGTTCGTGTCGTTATAAAATACGTTGTGATTGGTATGAAGCACTGAAAATAAATTTTGCAAATGCAATTAAGTATCCGAGTAAGTTACAATAGTTTGGTAAAAGGTGGAAGTACGACGGTGCAATAGAGATAAAATATGTCAACTGTCACGCTCCTATTGCCAAATTTGTGTACCATTTATCCGCTGTTTCGATTGAACTTGACACCGTTACGATGCGCACGACGCGAAAATCGTTGTTAGCGGAACTTGTTTCAAAAACGATGTACGTGCATTGTATTCGTTTGCTATTGTTCAAGTATCGCAAACTATACGTACAACTGTGTATCGGAGACAAAAGTAGACGTTTGATAGTGCATATGTGCAAGTTAATCCAACGGCAGGATGCGAGAGTTTAAGGACATCCCATAGTTTTGTTAAAAATAGGTCAAAATCAACATTGACAAAGTTCCATGCACTCACAACACATACAACTGGTTATATCGCGGGTAAAGAGGCAACATCTGCGTAGCTGGTTTTGATATTTGAATCGTGATTCGAATAGTTTGAATAGTTTCCATTCGATTCGTGTAATTTAATGGGCCCTTAGAAATTTCTATGCAATCAGTGTCTCCACCGAAACGGCACAGTTTCGAGCACTGTACAAATCGATACCGGTTGTTCATTAAAAACGTTTTAAAGCTTCCCGTTGCAAAGTAGAAGTTGCCTTCTACAATGTAGTGCACGTTTCAATCAACAGGGTAGCAATTTCGACTTCTTATCACTCCCAACAAGTTCGAACAAGTTGTTGCACGATAAGTAAAAGTTTTTCTCGCACCAGTTGCATCGTATACCATTGTTAGGTCATTTAAGTCAATTTCCAAGCTTCAAAGGTATTACAATTGTAGGTTAACTTTTTACACTGGAAACATTGCTGAACAATATACCCAGGGAATGTTTTTAGATCATTCTTAAGCACATGTTACTTTTTAAAACCTTTTCTCGCGGCTATCGTTTCACTATGTGAAATTTTCCATTCAATCGGGCAACGATCAATTAGGTTAGGTCAGACGATCCAGCAAATGTATCGAAAATTCCCTTAACTGCATAATTGATATTTCCACGAATTTATAATAAGCCAGCCACAGTTTTGTGTATTTTTACACTGTTCACATGATTTGTATACCACACGCAGATTAACACTGAGCTGCCAATTCAGCATGAAACATTTTCACGTTCCTTTCGGCATCGTATCTAATAATGTCTTCGACGAGTGCAGCGCCAGACATATCTGTGCCCAGAAGTAGTACTTCAAATGCAACGGGATTCCTTTAAAATATTATTTAAATATCCTCTATTTATTAAAATAAAATAAGAATATGGAAGTAACGATAAAGAAAATGGGTTAACGGATATTTTCACGAGACTCTCGTAATTCTTCCCCTTTAAAACGATCCTATTGTAGATAATATTAACCCCGCTGATTGAAGAGCAAGTACATACAATTCAGTTGTACGTTTCTCTCAGACGCAAACCTTCGTGCACGATCCCCTTCGCGTTAAATAACATTTTTCCTGCGTCGACGGCGGACGCGCACGTTAAACCGAACAAAAAAGGAGAGCGATATCCTTTCCCGTAATGCGCTTCTATTCAGCTCGCACGAATGCATCGCGACTTTATCTTATTCTCGGTTTACAAGTGTCTCTTTACAAAATCCAGCACGCTTTGTGCACGACAAGTAAATGCAATTCTTTCCCACGCAGAGAAGTAATCCGTACCTAAGCCAGGAAAGAAAAAACGAACTTCCTTTCGATTCAGTTTCTTTTGAAGAGCTTAGTTTTTACTTTTCTGAATATTTCCTCGTAGTCTGGACTTTCAAATAAATAATACGCTCGTTCAGAATGTTTTATTCAAAGTTGTTGGCATTCAAGGTAAACGTCGGTCTGTGCCGTTGTTGAAGACCTAACCTAAAAGAAACTCGGCACTATTGTTGAATGATCAGTGAAAAATACGAGAAGTCCTTTTCCATCAAGTCGATCGGAGGATTGCGAGTTAACGGATGTGCTTTTATCTTTCGGTTCAGGTAATTAATTTCGACTCGCCACGCGGCGGTATCAGTTTGGTGACTGAGAAAGGCCCCGAAACGACGAGTCGTTTAATGATCCAGAAAGCAGTGCCGAGCGACTCTGGGATCTACACCTGCGAGCCGAGCAACGCGAATCCCAGCAGCATCAAGGTGCACGTTGTTAACGGTAAGTGGCACGAAACATGATCCACGCTGATTGGTTTCCCGTTGAGTATTTCATAGACGTGTTCGTATTTAATCGAAAGAGCAGTATAATCGCGGTATATTTCTCTTAAAACGAATCGAAGGAAATTTTTCTAAAGTGTTTTACTTGAAAAACAAAGCAACGAATGTAACATGGGAATAATTGCTCGGTGTATTGTAGTCGGTAAATTATTAGGGTGCGCCTTATCACGGGCTGAAAACGGACGCATGGATTTAACGATAATTCGAAATAAGTTAAGCCAAGTTTCCGGTATGTTATTTATCAACTTCAAGCGTTAATTGCTCGGTACAATGGCCTGTACGGCCTTACCTGACGCGAATGCAGATCGATGCGACACGTGGTGCACGACGGTGATTTATCACCGTCATCGTCCCGACTGATCCGCCTCGCAAACGTCTCGTTTGCCTTCTTTCTTTTAATCGTTCGAATCGTTGCGCTTGTGCCCTTGTCACGACACTTTCTAATCGAACCTCGTGCATACCACTGATCAATTTTACCAAGAAGAAAAAACAAAAGAGGAACTAAGTCGTTCGCTGTGACCGATCTAACAATTTCACCGTTCCGACTAATTGCGCGTATCAATCTTTTCACTACGGCCATCTTTGTCGACAGATGGTCACGTGATACGGCCTAATAGTAGAGACGCCTGAAGTCGAATTCACAACGCATCGCGGTGTGTTCACGAATCAAATTGTCTAATTTACATGTACCGTTGTATAGCAATTTCATGCAGTTGTTTAAACAATACGTTTTTTAAAATTAGTCAAACCTTGCACCATTTTGTGCATAACATTTGCGAACAAGGTACACTTTGCAAATTTTCCTATATTATCTGTCTTTATCTCTCTTTATTTGACATATGCGTATCTATTGGTATAAATAAATAAATATAAATAATTTTCACGGAGGTTGTCAATTACGGAGGAGTAACCTGATTAATATCCTGACTGTCGCGCGTCGGTAAAATTTCTATTGAAAGTTTACCAGGTACATATTTCGAAACACGAGCGTCGTATACCGGGTAATAAGATTAAAGTGAAGAAATTTGTGTTGCAGAGGAACATCCGGCCGCTATGCACCATGGGGATGGAAGTTCGTCGTACGCCAAGACATGGCCGATGTGTTTTATAATTTTAATAGTAGCTAACGTAATATTTGTATGAGGTGAAACGAAGGGCAAAGGTGAAGGAAGATGAGGAGAGATACCCGACACGATAATACAGCGCGGTTTTCATTGAACCGTCACATTGCCTACGATCGTTAACATTCTTTGGGTGAATATTTGCGCAGGGTAAGACCGAATATTACCTACATTTACATTAAACTTCCGTGACCAAAGAGTTTTCGAATATCATCAGCACGGCACAATAATCGGTAAGAGCGTAGTATTTTGTTAAGATATATCATCAAGGAAAAAAAAAAAACAAAGAAACGAATAAAAACTTACGACGTCAAAATTTATTGTATTATTTGTAAATAAATTTATTGTATGTACATATCAATAAAACGATTGTCTTTACCTTCTGTGTCTTTTTCTATGGGACGGTTCGCCGGAGAATTATTTCATGCGAGTTTCAACCGGTGATTAAACGAACGGAAAATTTAACGTTCCCGATTTATTATTTCCATTAATGCTTAATATATCAATTGAACGTGAACGAGTGCGATTGAATTTTATAAAATGGGTTATACATTTCCGAGATTTTCTCAGTTTCTTCTCCTCGAATACAACGCCGGTGAAAAACAACGGTCCACTGATTTACGTCCCGATACCTCGAACGAGAGAATATTTAATACACGTACGTATAGAAAAGGTACGTGTATACACTTCACGCATATAAAGCCCCCATGTACTATTCTGTTCCCACTGCGTCACAGACGATATAAAAGACTTTGTGGGAAAAGTGGATTCTCCTCTTAAAAGCTCCGACGAGCGCATTCACTCGGTATTTCTGGCCGGAAGTTGCCGAAAGAAACGACGACGTAGCGACGGCACCGGCTAATGACAGCGTTAATTACTTCGTCTATCTTGCACCCATTAATTACACCACGGTGCAACTGACTTTTCCCTGGAAATGTCAGCCACGTGTTCACGATCCCGGGACGAGAGGAGCAGAAGGAGTCGTAAAATCGCAACGGAACCGAATACAAGCTCGACTGAGATAACTTTTACAAGGATACGCGTTCAGATAAAGGTAAAAATTGTTGCATTTGTTATTATACATCGACGAATATATGGCGAATGCGTGAGTGAAGTTCTCCCGATGAAAATGAGCCGAAACGCGACCTCGTTCGGACTATTTTTCTGAACTCGATTCGAAAATCGAAACACACCCTATATAGCGCTCACAGGGGAAAGTAGTCCGAACGAGGTCGTGTTTGGGCTCATTTCGATCGGGACAACACCGCCTATCCATCGACGATATTCTTCGGCGAAGATATAACGAAAAATAGAAAAATAAGAATCACGGACAGGTCTCATCTTACGTCCCCTTACCATTTGCCGGAATTACAAGGTGATACTGTTACACGGAACGCTTAGAATATCGCGGCCACGATCGTCGAACGTAACTTTCTGGGGGAAAAAAGCGTCGACTGGCTTTTTTTGTTACCGGTTGCGACGAAAGCGTACCAAAACTGTTTCGATGTTCGACTCTCCGCGGGGAAACTGGGTCGTTCCGACTTTAACGACTTTCCCGCGATCCTCCACGGCGAACTGCCGTTTACGAGTCCACCGGCACCCCACCCTCCTAACACTGGAATACTACTCTCGGCCGACTAGGTCGTTTTATCTCGTATATTTTGATTTATCAGCCATCGAGCGACGATTCGGCGACGATTGGTCGAACGTAGCGGCGATAACGAGCGTACAGGCGGTATCAGTTGGCGGCGGTGCAGCGGGCAGTGTTCAAGTAGTCGATAAAGTCGACTATTTTCGGCTCCCTCAAGCGTGGAATCATCGGCGGAGCGGTCCACGCACGGAATTGCTGCTGCTGCTGTTGCTGTTTCAGCCAGCCTTTCTCGTTCCCCTTCTTCTTCTTCTCCCGTTTACGCGGATGCTCCTGCAGTGTTATCGACTTGCCGAACATGAAGAGGCACGGGCCAAGATAAGGCCGGAAGTCGGGTATATTTTGCTTGTAGACCAAGCTGAAGCCGCCCGTATCCGCGTTCGAGTTCATCGGCACATCCATTATCACTGAAACAAATTGAAAATGAACGGAACGATAACGAACGATTTGCTCCATTTTTCCTTCTCCTTTCCACTCCCACCCGTTCACTCTCGTTCTATACGAGGTCGAGTGCATTTCGCGGGCGTACGTGCACGCGGGGTCGACTTTGTGCCGCGTCGTTGCTTTGTTCGCGTCGAACTCTTTCACCGTGGAACGAGGAATATCATACGATCGAGACACGCCGATTGTTCTCCAGACTTTCCCTGTAGTACCATCGAGGAAATCGAGAAATACTCCCCCCCACCTGTACATTTTTATCACAGGATATTTATGTTTAGGTTAGGTCACACCGGCGAAAATCTGAAAATATCGCAGGCGTATTTGCCCTTTCGCCCCCGAAAAGCCGACCTTTTTTTCGTCGTTCGTTGCGCGTTGCGCGTTCCGCATTGACGAACGTTCGAACGGCTACCGCGTATTGCGATTCTCCGGAAGAGCACGTTAAGCTTGTGTACATTTTAGAGTGAGAATCAAGAGGGAATTAGCCGTAAAACCGTCCGTTTGTTTCTCTATTTTTACGGAATTTCCGGCAACGGAAGGTGGATTTCGAGTATGAAAAGATATACCCGTCCCGCGAGACTGAAAGCGCATCGAAGCCGCGAAAGGATTTCGCGTTTAAAGCAATTTCCTTTCGTTTCTTAGAAACGCCGCCGGTTCTAAATGAGAGGTAAATATTTTTCGCGCGGCGAAAAGTTGGTTCGTGTCGTGGCCAAGGAACAAAAAGGGGAATAAAAATGAAATTGAGAAAGAGCGGAGGTATATAACTCCGGTTATTTCGTTATTTTGTTACGTTTCGGATAAAGTTCAGTGGGTGAAAATGGGAGGAAGAAAGAGAGAAAGCTGGCCTAGATGGTGCGCGCTGCGGTTGAAGCGTCGAAGAGCGCCGAAGAGCGACTCGTATCGGCAGCTGGAGCAAAGTTGCTTAATCAGAGGCCGGAAGCCCGGTTGGTCGATACTGGACGCAAGGAAATCTCGAATATATCATCCCCGTTGTCTTCTCCTAGCCGCTACCCACCCAAACTTTCACCCGCAGCCTCCGTTCCTGACAACTTCCTTCCCTCTATATTCGCAGTTTGCTAACCTTTAACCAAGCTCTCGAGAACATTGGAATAGAGGCGTTTGGTAATTCTCGAGCTGGGCGGGTGCATCCGTGGGTTGGTGTTGATCTCGATCAACCAGACCGAAAGGTCCTCCGTCACGACGAAATCGGCACCGTACAGCTCGAAGCTGCACCGACGTCTGTCCATGTACTCCTGCGAGGCCAGCATCGTCAGCACTATCGCCTCCGACATCTTCGGGTAGATCTTGTCGTAATACGGCTCGCCCTCGTGCCCCGTTTGCCTGCCAATTACCATCGCACGGATTTACCCTACAATCTTGCGCCCGTGCAAATCGAATTCGCAACTTCCAAATTTTTCCACCTTTTCAGTTCACCTCGAATTCGTACTTTCCTTCTAACGAGGAAATTCTGGGGTAACCGAAACTTGTAAAGTTTAATGAAATTTTTAGGCGATACCGTAAACTGAAAGTTTCAGTTGATAGGGACGCAATATACACACTGCAGACCAAAACTTTGAGATTATTGTACGTTGCAAGGTTCGCCAGAATTTTCAGGAGAAAGTTCGAAATATGAGAAACTTTTATCGAGGGTCCCTGCAATGTTGATTGGGAATTTATAAAAACATTGTGTTTGAATAGTTGGAGGGAGTAAAGGGGAAGGGGACCGGCGAAGAGTGGATCTGGATCGGCCGGACAAGAAAGCACACAGGTTCTGCGCATATTTGCGCAAGCTCTATCGAGCGTAACGAACGAAGGATAACCGAAAGTTCTCTGGCAGAACGAATAGACCGGTAGAGAGATTACTTTAAATATTCGTTTAGCTTCTCGCAGTCCCATCCTTGATCGCGAATCGATTTTACGACTTCCTCCGAATTTCCACGTTTCCTCCGCCTTCGTCTCTCCTCGTCGTACTTCTCCTGAATGGCGGTATTGCAGATATGAATCGCTTCGTGATAAGTTGAGAAAGTGTAGGGTTTCGAGCTGAATCGGAGCAGTCCTTCCCTGATGGAAAAGGATGGAAAAGGATGGAAAGGGATGGAAAAGGATCGGGGAAATTCTTTGATGGAATCTCGCCGAATCTCTCCGTTCGTTGAAATTCTTTCGAGTTGAAAATTCGAAAATGCTTTTCTTCGGCAAATCCTTTTCGAAGCTTCCTCCGTACAGGCGGTTAATGGTGCCTCTTTACATTTATTCATTTATACAGCGATGAATTTTCTTTCAAAGATGGGATACCTTATCCAGAGGGCCGAACAAATGGAATATCTCGATCTTTTACGGTCTAGGAAGTATTTTCAGCCGTGGAGGTCGCGATATTTATAAAATATTAACAAAGAAAATTACTTAAATATCCATATCGTCATGGGGAACGTATTCGTAACCAGATACCACTGTCTAATGTCGAACTTTGTGTCGTGAATCAGTAATGGACGCTCTGAAATACGGAGGCAAGGGTAAAATCGTGGAGGGGGATGAAAGATTGAAACGACGTATGATGTATTTCTAACCGATGTATTTCTGCACGATGAAGTAATCCTTCGGTCGACTCTTTATTTTCCTGAATATATCCTTCAAGCTGTGCGATATACTGATCCCTGTGCCGCAACAGAGTTCGCTCGGTTTCAGGATCCAAATGTTCCTCATTCCGTTCAAGTCGTACTGCGGATCTACCTCTCTCAACTTCCCCAACGTCGTACTCGCGGCGTCCAAATATTTCTACGGAACAGAAACTCTGAATTATTCGAAAAATCAGCCTACAGACGTTAAAAGAGCGTACCAGTAGCTGTTCCCGACTTTTCTCGAACGTCGCCTCGATGTCAGCCTCTAGGTGCACCGCGGCGGTGTAGTCGTCCAGAAAGGAATTCCATTCCTCTTCCGAAAACTCGGTGACAAAGTCTTCATCTATGTTCCGGTGGTGTTCGCAAGCAATAAATTCCTCGCAGCGTTTTACGGCGAATTCCAGTCGACTCATTGGAATCGGACGGTGTCCCGGCTCCGCGCTGTACTCCTCGCCGTCTTGCATTCTTTCGACGAACCACTTCAACAGACCAGCGGCGGCGGTCAAACGAAAATCGTCGAGGAAAGCTTTCGGCTCTCTGCTCAGGTTGTAACTTCGTGGGAACAGCACCGACGACACGTCCTTCTCGTACAACCAGTGAGCCTCCTCCAGCAGACGAGCCATCCCCAGCTACGTTGTTCGTATTACCGAAAACATTTCACCAGGTTTGCAAGAGAAACTCCTTCCACCTTTCCTTCTAGTCTTATCTGTATTCGCAACTAGTCAATCACACTGGACCCTTCCCCCATTTTTCCATCCTCGATTCCCATCCGCCGTACTGTTACAGTTTTAATAAAGCTTCCTTTCTACGCTGACTACTACGCTGTTTACTAAGTGAAATTAAGTAAACCTTTTCTGCAGGATGTCTCAGTTTTTTCCGAAAAACAGGAACAGATGAGAGATATGTACGTACGTAAGTCCCTTCGTCTGTCGAAAACACTGGGACATCCGGTGACCATAACTCGCAATGCTCAGTGGTCCCGAATTTTTGTCTGACAATGGAGTGTGTCCTAGTTCGTATCACGCGGCGAAGGTGTCAAGTTCAGTTATCGCGTGATCCTTCTAACGATAAGTCGGATAGACGAGAGTCTCGTAAAGTAAGATGACGGTGTTAACCTTGGAGGTGTAAACGGAAGGCTTTTGGTATCTGTTGAGAATCGTATTGCTACTCAGGCCACGATGCCAGTCGACGAAGTCGTTTCGGCAGTCCCATATAAAGTCTGGCGATTTGTGACGTAATAAAGCGAAAATTACCGCCTTTTCGTTCAAACTACCGTCCGGTTGGGTCAAATCGCCCAACGATCTTGCCTCTAAGCTGGCCACGCTACCTAAAAATCGAAATTACTTTCGTTCGTTTCAACCACGAATTCGGCGTAGGTGGAGAATTATAAGTTTATAGAATTATCTCGAATAGCGAATTATTTTCATTGAAGTTAAAGAAAACGAACCGTAAGCTAGAGTTCTTGTTTTTGTAGCTTCGTACTTTTGCACCCAACCTCTTTTCTCCAGAGCTTCCTTCAATTTCGGTACCTCGCCGCGTATCAAAAATACTTTGTGCCTCTGCAATAACCGTACAAGTGGTAGTTGGAGAAAAATTCTCGAGTTTTCTCGCCAGTGAAATCTACCTTGATCGCTCTGCCGACTTTGGTCTTAAGTTTCTGATAACGCTCCTTCCTCGTCCAATGGGCTTTGCAGCAATCGTCGTCCTTAACGGCGATACTCCTGTAATTGTTCACGGCGTCTGGCGTGTCGTTCTTGTCGAAGATGTCCCGCGGGCAGCAGGAACACGCGTCCATGTACGATTTGGGGAACGCGCCGCAGTCGAGCTGCGGCAGACTGTTAACAGCGCTGATCTCGTTGTCGTCCGTGTCCGGAAGTGTCCATTTCGCGTTCATTTTCGTCCAGTCCGCCCGATTGTACGGATTCATCGGGCTCTCCTTTTTTTCCACGTCGATCAAAGGAACGAATTTGCAGCAGGAGGGGCTCGCTTTAGTTTCCCTCGTTGGCTCCGTGATCGTTGAATCTTTCACGGTCCTTACGTCCCTTGACCGACGAAGGTGAAACGTTCTAATTTAGATTACGCGATATTCACTTTTCCCCTTTTTCTCTCTCTCTCTCTCTCTCTCTCTCTCTCTCTCCCGATCCAATTAGTCGTCGTTTGAATTCGCTGTTTTGAAAGGAGACACGTACCTTAGATCGATCGGTAAATCCATAGTTTCGTCGTGAATCGAACGAGCTATTTCACTTCAGTTCCTGGACAGATTGGAAACGTCCAGTTAATTTCTCACCTGGGTGTGTTTATGTTTACCTACCTACTACAAAGAGAATTTGGCGAAATGCGAGCACCTCGAATGGACCAAGCGAGAAAAGTTAGATCGATCAACCTGCTTGTTTAACCTGGCCGCCTTATTTTCTGCCAAGCTTAATCGCCTGAGTAATTAACCTTTTATGCAACCAACATTCGAGAAGCTTGTTTTTACCGCTATCGGGGAACTATGCTAATTTAACACCGACTTCACCTACCGCTTTCATTCGAAATTGTTCTCGTAAATACCGACGGGCTATGCAACTGTAACCACGCGATTCGCGATATAATATATAATAATATTATTAACATCTCCGTAAGCGACTGAACGAAAAAGACGAATAACGTAAGCGTGTAGTACGATGTCTCGTTTCGAAAATCGTTACGCCATAAACACGCCACAAGGTGCTGTACTTGCCATGTTTATTCTCATTTGCCGGAACCGCGACGAACAATTTTCACGACACAAGCTTCATTTCGTCCTTGGAAAAATCTTCCCTCTACCCTCAGAAATACTTTGCAATTCTGTGGAAATATATTTTGCTCATACACTTTTTATAGTCTGGTCGATGTTTCATCGATTCACTATGCTCGATGAAAGGTTCCCTCATCGATGTGATTAAGCAGTAATTCTGTAACTTGGAGGACTTTTCGCGATAGCTCAGGCCACAAGCTTCAACCCCTAAATTTATTTCATAATTCTTGTACACCGAACGTTTTTTGTATTTCTGTCGTCTATGGATTTTCGTTGATGTGTCAAATGTCGGACATGTTGCGTTAATTCGATCGTCGAGTGTTTCTCTTTTTTTTCACCACTACTGCGCAACGTCCAATTGCCAAGGGGTTTATATCGTTTTCAGTTATTATATTTCGAATTTTCTAATCTTCGCTACTTCATCAACCACCGGCGTGAAGTCGGAGATAGAAAAAGGAAAAACGGTGGATGATGCACGGCGGACAGGAAACCGGCGGCAAAGGTGAAATATGCTCGCATCTATGCAGTTTGTTTCTAGAAGCGTAATACGACTGGATACGTTAGAATATTGAAGAGAACTGGCTCGACTGGCGGAGCTCGTTTCGTCGAGGAAACAGCACGCGTGAACAAATTTCGGAAACACGAAAAGCCTCTTTGCACGTTACGTATTCATTTGGATCGAGTGTCAGCACGTTCGACTGCCAAGTGTTCATAAATTTCCGCGCGTTTATCTAACACTTCGTTCCGGTGGTGTTAAAATCTGGCTGAGTTCAATATTGAACAATTTCACAAGCGATATAACGCGTCGCGCGGCCTGAAAATTTACAAACGTTGAAACACCGCCGCCTTTGCGCTTTCCTCCTTAATATCGAAAATATTGTCACGCTCGGCGTCCCTCTTTCCGCGGATAGGCAATATTATCGCTCGAATAAACAGCTCGTAACGAATCAAGATACCGTTACACCTCGTTCAGGTGACATGCTCTGTAATAAAAGTGACACGTCGGCCAATGATTGTAAATCCATTGTGTTTAACTAGAAATATGAGAGAGAGAGAGAGAGAGAGAAATCGCGTCAGACTTGGTTGCACGAGCGAATGAGTTAACTAGCTAAGTAACCGCGCCCACTGCACTCTCTAATCACCAAAGGCACCAGAAATGCTTTTAAACTTTCCATCCACAATTACCTCCTTATTCACACAGAAGCCGCCTATTAGACCTTCCATTATTCTAATTACGGAAGAACCGTCTGAAATATATCGATTCAAGTTGAGACGGTTAAGTGGCCGAGATCAAGAGTCGGATTGTTCCTTCCTGTTGTTTATTGTTACGGAAAACTCGACGTTTCGGTAATCTTTTATATAATAGAATGCACGTAACCAGAGACAACCAGAAATACGCTCCCTGTTATTTTATTTTTTCTAACGATAAGCTATTTTAATAAAAGGAGAAAAAAGAATACAGAGAAGTCCACCCTGTATATTACGAAATGCAACGAGCACGATAAAAGAGATACGTAGTTTCAAAGCGACAATTCCACGCCTAACGATATAACATTTAGAAATTATTTGATGGAAAATGGGTGGAAGAAAGGGTTTTCCACTCGGCCGATCCAAATTTACCAAGCAACATATTCCACCTGTTTCTAACTGCTTTCGTCACGCAGAAGCACCTTTTAACGCAATATGCAACGGAAAGTGAACAAAGTGAAAAATATACTATATCGCACGGCGAATCATTCTCGGGTTGGCCATCTGCGCCCGAGTAACCCGTATCCTGCTCTCGAACGAAGCCAAGTTAATTCGGAACATTTGAAAGTAATTCTCCTAAGAACGTTCTTTCCAAATCTCCTTGGATGTCGGTTTGAAATTTTCCGGCTGCGTTCTCGAAACTTGGATTTTTGAAACGCACATACATTTCTCCCGTCTATTATAAAGGTCTTATCGAATCGTGTACCGCCGCGGAAGAAACGAGTTACAAAGTTTGCGTGGAAGTTTACTCTCTAAACTAGTTTTCCGTGGCTGGAACTCGAGGCGGTCTGACTACTTATCGTAGCGTGTAAATGGTAAACAGCCGTTGATGCGTCGTCGTCGTCGTCGTAGTCGCGGTTTGTACCACGAATTCATCAGGTCGATGTAATTAACATCTGGAAGAGAAAGCAACTAGGAAAGGAAGAGAAAATCGTGGAGAAATAAGAGTTCCTCCGCGGTATATATAATACCTACATTGAAATAGACTCCAAGTTGTATAAATCTTATTACAAGGTAATCTCGTTTGTAGTACTTTCGCACTTGTATCCCGGGTGTCTGTAGATCTTACACGATGCATTTTCAACGAAGAAACAAGTTACAAAGTTTCTCGGTTAAGTTCACGCCGCGGCCTCGTTGCGTCCTCAAACTTCCAAACGCGACTATCTAGGCCGGAACATTCTCAGATTATCTGCTGTCCAATTGTATCGCTCCTTTCTTCCAATTTCTCCACTTCCATTTATTTCATAGACAACGAGAGGATTTTGTTATTTTGCATCCGGCAATTGTTTCATTTGAACAGTTACTTAACGCACAACACACTGCCGAGAGCACGAGCAGAGGATTAGCTATAACGAGGAATTTACGAGACACGATCCGTAGCATTTGCAGTCGATACGAGTTAGTTTACAGCCGAATAGAATTTTCACTCGTATGAATACGATAATCACGTGAGCGTTCTCCAACGATGGCAGTTTAAGGCGAAACTTTATAGCGTTACCATCCTGCTTAATCGAATTATTGGATTATCCTATCGTCTATTCGGGAGAGCGTCCATCGCAACTGAATAGTGCCGCTTTTCGCACGTGTATCGCCGTTTAATAGAGAAACTGTGTAAAGGCAATTTGCAAGCCGGCTATCAACGATACCCTAACGTTCTATCCTTTAATTTTCATTTACAAACTCTCCGTGCTTTCTTTACGGAAGATTTTGCATGTGTAATCAGTAGAAGGACCTCCTTTGTGGATACTTTTCAAAGGGGAACATAGTGTATTAGAGATTGCAGCGCCGAAGAACACGCGTATTCGCGCCAAATGTTATATCGCTAAAGGGACCTTTGTGCAATTTAAAGCAAAGTCATGTATCACGTAGATATTTCTTTGACAACTATTTCTCTCCGGGAAGAACTACTCTACTTGGCGTTCTGTTGCTCTACTTCCGCTTAACATGGACGAATTCAAACTCGGTCTGTAAAGTTTCTATCTTGCACGATGCTTATGCTACCGACGTTTCTTCTACTTTTCGCCTCTCCCCTGAAATTGTCGCCGGAGAAATATTTTTCATTCGGAATTTTCGACAAAAATCACGGCTTTGTGGAAGGAAATTTACACTGCGAAAGCGTTCCACTCGATGTACCGGATGTCACAGTCACGAGCCAATTGCACAAGTGTCCATAAAATGTTGACACTCTGGAATTAAAGTTGGAGCGTGAAATTCGACGATCGAACGGAAACGGATTCGGAGGATACGAACAGCTAATCAAAGCTCAAGCTCGTAATCTCGTTTCCTTGTGCAGTTCTATAACTGCGGTATGGAGTTGTTTGATAAATTCTTCAGATTTCTCCGATTCAACCAAGTTTACATTGTGGTCACGTATTTCAAACACGTGATCGGTTGATCATCGCCGCCGCAGTAATGAGAGTTTCCGTAATACACCGTAAAGTGCTCGTTGTTGCTGTACCAAGTCATTCGCTTTTAAACATTTTTCGAAAACCGAAATTCAATCTCTCTAGCTTATCATTCAAAATGAGTAAGAATTATAACCAATTACTTCTTTTATTTCAGTAATCAATTATTCTGTTCCAATTCAACGCTCTTCTATAATACGTTTTCTCGAAAAGCTACCGTTTCCTTCCTTCAACTTGTTTAAACCTCGAACAGGACTTGACGATACAAGAGGTGTTTACACGATGAAAAAGGCTGGGGTTAATTATTTTCCCTTTTTTCCCCCTTTTCAGCAAAAACGTCCTATTCGCTTTCCCGACAGAACCATTTCCTTTCTTATCCAGACCAGTTTCTTGCTCCAAGTGGCTAATTACGTGAGAAAAGCATACTCTTCCCTCGGTTTCCCTGTTGCTAAAGTAAGCAGTACTTTGTAACGATCCCATTTCAAGAACCGGGAA